GCCGAGGGGCCGCGCGCATGCGCGAGGGGTGGGGGCGGGGGTAACGGTCCGGCGCGCGGGGCGGGGCGCGGCTCCATGAGGCGGGGGCGGCGCCGTGAGGCGGGCGCGGCGCCCGGGCGCCCTGCCCACGTCACCGCTGTACATCGCCGCTATACATTGATCTTAGCGGTTGTTGTTTTCCCCACCGGGATCAATAGGCGCGTGGAGAGCTTGGGCAGGCGTCGTGGGGCTGGAATTCGCCCTCGTGAGCGCGCCGGATGCCCCTCCGCGGGGCAGGCAGGGTGCTCAGCGCATCTCCCCAGACTCCAGCCCCTTTGCTGTTAAAACTAAACCAAACGTGGCTACGGGAGCAGGTCTGTGCCAAGTCTGCGAGCCAGGTGCGTCTTTTGACTGCTGCTCCCGATTCCTGTGTGGTCTTGAGCAAGTCTTTTAATCTGCCCGGCGCATCAACTCCCTGTTTGCTAAATGTCATCGCAATTCCCAAAATTAAATGTAGCAAGGTGGTTGCTCAGCGGTGAGAAGCAGGGCAGCAGACCTAAAACCAGCATCCAGTTACTGGCTGGAGTTTGTTTTCTATCAAAGAAATACTAGATTTCCTTTCCTCTGTTGTTTTTTGTTTTTAGGAAAGATACTGGGTAAAGTATTATATTAGTGCTAATAAGTATACTGACTTACTAACAAAGGGATCCTGTGGCCTTAAACTCTCCTACCTTATTGGCCAACACTGAAATCTTGTAAATGATGCTGGGAGCCCAAATTCCAGTCGCTCTAATTAGCATTTAGGAGCTGAATTACTCCTGTTTAAAAGCAGGTTTTATGGCCCTCTTCAAAGGATGAAATTCAAAAGGATAACTGAAATGTCAGTGAGAATGTAACAGTGGATCTGAAAGTATTACAAATATTTATGTTGGAGACATGTGTGATGTATTTAGAGAGGTGTGTGTGGTTTTATTTAAGCAAAAAGTCTTTAGTTTTCAGCATACCTTAAAAATTATATTTTTAATTTAATATAGACTGAGCAGGAATTAGTTGATGGGACAGTAATAGACTTAGATATAATATGAGATATTCTGTTCAGAAGCAGTGATGAACAGGAGGAGAAATAATTTTGTTCAGAGATTTTAAAGAGTCATATTTTTATCATAAGTGAATATTAATGAGTTCCACTTGACCTATGTCCTTTTTGATTTTTTTTATGATTTAGATCATTTGGGTGGTCTGTCTTAAATTGAGTTGTTTTACTGTTCAAAGAGAAATCCTCTTTAAGTGTGTGTTTTTTCAAAGAGGAGGAATTTATGCTTTATCTTCTGGGAAGCAGAAACACCAGAGTTTGCAATTTTATCTAAATAGTCCTCACTATGCAGTGAGCACTGCTGAAAGCTGAGACTCCCCACATAGACCTGCTTTTTTTTTCCTGCTCTATTATTAGAACAAAATACTGAAAAGTTCAAATACTTGCCATGAGCAACTGTCCTGCTTTTGAACTGAAACTCTTTTGAACAAAAGCTGCCTACTTAGACAATTTCTTTTCTTACGGAGTAGTCCCAAGGTGTGTTAAATACACTCTTCTCTCCTTGTGGTATTTCTAACCAGGGCGTATCCACTGGGACCAATATATCTTTTGTGGTCATTGCTACAAACTTTATTTTATAGGGATCCAAAGATTATTCTGCTGACCTGTTTGTCTTTTTTTTTTTTTTTTTTTTTTTTTTTTTTTTTTTTTTTTTGCTTTTGAAGTGCTTTGCTGCCTGTAATATCTGTGCAAATAGGTAATACAAATCGGAAGTTTATGTATCTGAAATATTGATAATCTACAAATAAGCTAGAAATGATTTGGCTATTTCAATTGGAAATGTTATTTGTAGGCAAATTAAGCCCTTGAATTTGAAAGCAAAAATAGGATTTCAGCTGTTTGGGGTGAGAAGTAACTTGATTTACAAGCGGAGAAGAGTAATAGGCTGGTGCAGAGGAGTCTTAACATCTGCCCTCCAGCAAGTAAAGTATTCCGGTAATTGAGAACTAACAGATCAGAAACCAAGAAACATTAAAAAGAAACTTCCCCTCCTCCACTCCCCCAGGCTGCCACAAGCTCTGCAAAGCAGTGTCTGCAGCGTGTTTTTTTTTTTCTTAAATTATTTAATAAATTTAAAAAATGAATAATTTTTCTTATTACAAGAGGTAATAGGCTTGCCTCTGGAAACTCTCATCCAGTATGCCAGCATGGGTGGAGTGAAATCATTTTTGCTGTTTTCTGCCAAAACAAAATAAAATATCCCTAGATTGTCAACATTAGATTTTATATATATATGAGGCCAAGTATTTGGGTTATACTTTCTGTGGGTGGTACTTTGTTTTACTTATATACCAGTGATATATACCAGTCTTACGTGACCATCCTCAGAACACACGCATTTCGTGAGACTTGCAAACTATTGAGTAAGGGGTTAATTTATTTCTCTTCTGGAAAGCATTTTCTTTATTTTTTTAGCTTTTATAATTTAAGCATCTTATGTCAGGAGTTCCTGATTAGCTAGTGGTTTGTCTGGTGCTCTTTAGTCTTATGTTAGTGGTTTAGTTTAAGAGTACTTTGATTTTTTTTCTCTCCGCTTTTTCTCCTGAAAAAGAAAAAAATCTCAAAACTTTTTTATTATTTTTTAAGCCTACCAACTAAACTAATTTGCAAATAGTGGTATTCATTGAAATCTATGAAATTTGAAACTATACCGGAAATATTTGAGGGAATGGGATCAGACCGAAACCAAACACTTGTCTCTGAAAATTTTATGCTGCCATCTCTTTTGAAACAGCTTCTAACTTTATATAGATAAATAATAAGCAGCTTGTCTCCAAACTTCTCATTTGTTTGAGCAGCAGCAGCAGCAGCTGCACTGTATGTGAACATTTCCTGGCTCTCAAGAGCAGGGATCTATTACTGTTAACTTGCACGAGTTAAGGAAGGTGGCTGGTTAAGACAGAAGTTATAACTTCATTACTGAGTGCACTTAGATATCTATCTCCCAACAGTGTCCTGACAGATCTTCTAGAGTTCCCAGGAAAACATTTGGTACGGGAGCTCGCTCTAGGTGTTATAGCAAACCCTCGGAGAAAGCAGTGGTTTTGAAGCAGATGAGCTTCTCTTTCCCATGATTTTAGCCATGCTAAATCACTTTACTTAAGTCATTTCCCTTTTGCTGAGGGAGGAGACATGGAATGAGTGAGTCCATATTCTTTTGGAGTTGAAACATCTTGTGCCTACTAGTTCCTTAAGGTTAGTTTGAAAATGTTGTCGCTATAGTAGTGGAAAGACAAGGAGCTGGTGCTGAGAGCACTGTCAACTTACGAGAGCCTAACAGCAGAGGTGTAAGTGGAGCTGCATACAGACAGTCCCTGGTGTAGAAGACAAGGAGATGTATGTGTCTCTTTGTTTTGCTTGGTGTCCTGACAGGGAGAAATAATCCAAACTGGCACTGTTCAACTCTATTTCCAAGTCCTCCCATAATGTTTTTATTTTGAAGGTGCAAATATGCAGTTATAACTAAGCTAAGCTTTCAGATGGTTTGCTTTTCTTAAGATGTGAGAAAAAAAAGAACTCAAAAGTGGTGATCCCTGTGAGATCTGTGGATTGAAAATTCTTGAGCTAGGCAATTGCTGTGCAGATCAAAAAGACTGCAGATAAGAGAAGAAGGTGGAAGAAAGGATGCTCAATTAGTAGATTAAACAAAAGACTGGGAATACTGTGCTCTAGCTACTTCTCCTGCTGCTCTCCTGTTGCTTCTGGATTTATTCTTAATCAAGAACAGACAGTAGATTATCTTGCAGACTTCTGCAGGCCATATCTGAGTAAATCTCTTTTGGAATATTTTTCAATAATATACTAAACAAAATTGAAAGTATGGTTTAAAGCAAAGATTGCTGCTCTCCGGGCTGTGATATGATAATATACTTCGGAATAGCATAGCTGCTGACCAGCAGTGGGGAAAGTCGAGCACTGGTTTTTGGATTCTAATAGTTTGGGAGCTATTGATCTAAGCTACATCAAGCCACATGCAGAAGAGATTGAGTAAGAGCTAAGAGTTTTTGCTTACGCAGAGTTATCAGGGTATTGTTTAGTTATTGTGCAAATGAGAAGTAAAGAATAACTGGTTAGAAAGCACAGAAGTGGTTGTAGGATGCAGAACTTAGCCATCTCTGCTTTTAAGGTGTTAGTGTTGGCAACTGTTTGCTAAACTGCATTTGTGAATATATAGAGTGTATTTCATATATGTTTATATGTGACAAGCAATAAACAAGTATATTTCTTGGAATAGTAACTCCAGATTTATTGCAGAGCATTTCACTTTGTGGTCTGCTCTGCTGAACTGCAGTTATGTGTCTGCATCTCTGCCATTTCTGTGATTGTTAATTCATTTGAAATATATAGAAAACTTGAATGAAAACAATGTAATTCAAAACAATACTTAATTCAAGAGCAGATTGAAACAATGTCCACCCACAATGTGTATGCTGCCTACATCCATCCTTCCAGTCTTACGGCTTACAGTCATGCTTTTTCAGTTTGGGCAAGGTTATATATTGAACTTGGGGGGGTCTTACTTCTCAGACTAATAGGATCAGAAATGCAATGATGTATGAACACTTACTCTCCTGAGACATTAAAGCTTTTACTGCGCTTGGAACAACCTCTGTGTGACATAAAGTAAAAACAGATTGTTCTTGTTTGACTCATGAGGGTATGTGGTGTATCTGTGCTGTTCACATAATTTGCTTTACTATGGCATCTTTGAATAATGTTGGCATATTTTTAAAAAATGAAATAACTGACAGAATTGTTATATGTGTATAATGTAATTAAAATGAGAAAATTTACACAGCCCGTGTTATTTTCAGGTTTGCTGTATACTACGTACAGTAGTTATAATGACACCAGCCCTCAGAGAGGCAGCAACAAAAGGTCATGGTATCCACTTGTCACCTTCTTTGTCCTCTAGAGCTATGGAGTCTGATACAACTTTGTGCATGGAAAATTCCAGAGCCGTGGAAGAGGCGATACGAGAGGATCCCATCGCACGGATTGCGTGCTCAGTCCTGGGGTTCCCCACGGCTGAGCCCAGCCTCAGGAATGACCTCTTCAGTGGGCAGCACTTTGGTTCTCCACAGTCCTCCAAGCACTATCAGTCTGTCTTGTTAATGAGTACCAGTTCTGCATTTAGCAACAAGAGTGGTAAGCAGAGGCAAACTGGAGAGCCCGACTGCTCCAAGATGAGGAATTCCCTATGTAATGGTGCTGATACATCATTCAGGCAGATTAGCCCTTCACAACCTGAGCAACAGGTCAAGGGGGAAACTTTTCCAGGCACCGCGTCTCCAAATTTGGCAGAAATGCAAAGACTTTTGGATTCAACTGCAACCGAATCCAGCAGCACAAAAACACAACTTTTAAGTGGTAAATGGTACAGAAAGAATGGGGTTTTGGGTAGGGCTCTGGAAGCCTGTGCTGAAAAAAGAAAGGGGGATTTATTACACCAAATTCTTCATGGGCCTGCAGAAGGGATTTTGAGTTGCACCAGGGATGAGGTGTATGATCGTTTGCTCCAGTGTGTCACTAAGCAACAAATTGAGATCAGCCGCGCCAAAAGAACTCAGAAACGTTTACAAATGCTCCTGGCAAAGCATGTTATCAAGCACTGCGATCAGCAGCTGAAATGCTTTGTGAAACATCAACTACAAAGAATGAAGGTTTTCCATGAACCAACCAGATTTTCGGACGGTGGCTCCCTTAGGTGCGCTGAGGGTTGGCCAGAAAGTAAAACAGCTACTTTGGCGGATAGTAGAAGTAAAGACGTACAGAGCAGCGTTTGCATTGCGCCAGGCGAAATCCGGGGATTTGCACTTGCTGCCGGAGGGCTGCTCTCTCGTGTGGAGAAGGATCTGGACTCTGACGCAACGTGTAGCAGCTCGGACGAAGACTGTGAGGAGCAGACTGCAAGAATGCCCATGGAAGCGTAAGTGTTAAATTACTGCTAGGCTTGTGCTTCGTGGTTACAAATCAAGACAGAAGGGTCTAGACCTGCAAATTCCTTCTTGTGTGAGTAACCTTACTCAATAGATAGTGCTAGCTGAAATCAGCAGGGCTGCCTGCATGAGCTGGGTTTGGCAGGATCCGGGCAGAAAGTAAGAGTTTCTGGGTACAGCATTTAAGGAATGTTAGTCTATTGGACTGTAGAGAGCTAGATTTTTGTGCTCTTATCTATCAGTTTGCATAGGATTAATGTCAGTAGTTATTCAATATGATGCTATAAATTAAAACAATTAGTGATGCAAGTGCCCAAAATGGAATTTTGGCTGATATAAAAATAATTTTGTTCTTTGAGAACATTAAGAGTTAGTCAATATTAGGCTCTTAAAATCCACTACTGACTGTGTAGTAAAGAGTCAAAAATAGCCATCTAATGAAGATATCATCCCATCCAGTTCCCATTGAGGGAATGTATCACTGAAAAAGCTAGGTGTCAGGATAGGGACATGCAAACCAGAAATTCCTGCACACAGCAGCTCAGTAGGAGTTTCGTAGCGCTTACATTTCTAGCATGTGAAGTCAGCAGTGCTTTTGTCCAAACCTTTTTTCTTTGTTTTTTTTTAGACTTAGTGTTTCCTGTTGTGTTATTATAGTTTCTGCTGTTAAGAAGTATCTGGAGAGTATTAAGAGGGACATTGAAGTTGGAGGGGGAGAGAGGGGAATAAACCTTTTTTTTGAAGGGCTGTTTCTTGGAAAGTATAATGTTCAGAATAAATCAAGGAGCCTCATCAAAAATTACACTGCCTGAAAATGCGCTATTACTTGTTTATTAGCTTCAGTTTTGAAAGCTTCAGTGTACCATGGTTGTATCAAATTACTACTGTCTTTTGATAAACTCTGTAGGTCTGGAAAGTGGTTAGGGAGAAAAAAATCCAAAGTATAAGTGATTTGATTTTTCTTTACATATTGTCAGAATGATAAATACTGTATTGAAGACTAAACCGAAGCCTAATGGAGCCAGCTAAGTCATGATCACCTTAAAGAGCTGAGATCACAAAACTTTCTCCTCTCCTTCTGAAATAGTTTTAATGGAAAATAAAAAGCATCATTAGCTCTTCCTAATGAACAGAATCAGCACTCTTCTTGTAGCTAATAGGGGTAAGCTTCTGTGTAATAGATTAGGTTTCTTATCTTGTGATTGCATAAACTGAATAGGAAAATCTGATGAAAAAGTAATTTCTCAAAGGGTAGTATGTAATATAAAACTTGTATTGAGTTTTTACATGATTTTTTTCTTCTTGCCAAGTATACTGCAGTTTCTGATTTAGATGTTCCTTCGTCTTTGTTTCTTCTGGCCTTTGAATGGCTTTTAAAAATGGGCCTTTGAAAAAGATCTACTGAGGATTATTAAATACAGAGACACCACCTTTGGCTCAGGAAATCCCCAGGCTGCCACATGCTGGAAGCGGGGCAATATCCTGCAGGAATGCTGTTCCATGCTTGCCATGTCATTAGGCTTCTCCTGGCCACCATTAGAAGTAAGAGACTGGGCAGGTGATGTGGTGATGTTCAGCCTGAGTGCAACCTATTTGTTTTTCTCCTCCCTTTTTATGTTCTTCTGCCACGCAGATGACTCAGTACTGTGCATTAGCTAAGGCACTGTAGGTGCAAGTGTTTGAACTGTGCCCCATCACCAGGCAGCTCAGGGCTGAAGTACCACCTAACTTAAGCTGGAGTTTTTTAACTGTGTACAGAGACTGAGGCGACGCTTGAATTAACACTGCAGTGAGGACAGGCCGTCTTTAAATTTATTGCCCTCTTAAGCTTAGAGTGGCTTTCTTCCTTGCTCCACCATTCCGAGGTTTGCTTCTGGGATTCCTGCGGCATGGCAAAGGTCCATCAGCCCCCAACCAGTGGCGTTGATGGGATTTGCCATTTTTCCAGCTTTAGAATTCTTTGGATTGTCTCTGAGCTGGGTAAAAGCAGCAGATGAAAGTTAGGATCTGTTTTTATTTCTTGCTAAGTAGATTTGTGTTACTTTGAAATGCCTTTTTGTCCTCAGGAACTGGCTCTCAGTGCTTTCCAGAAATAGTATCATTACGTGGGTGTGAGAAAACTCATTTCCTTGCTTCTGACTTTTATTTCTCATAGTGAAGACTTTTTACTGATCTGCAAAGAGTCTTCCTTGCTGTGATATTCTGAATCATTTTCAGCAATAGGTGTTATAAGCCTCTATTAATGTTGTCAGGAGCGGGGAAGAATGTTCTGATTTCTTGCCCAGTAACTTCTGTAGATCTTTTGCATGAATGCCATATGATGTGCACCCAAAAAAGGGGCTGATCTTGGAGGAAAAGAAATATTGCAAAGGGCCTTAAATTTCCCTATATTACAGTTTACTGAGACACAAGACAATAGTTGCAACCTCACAGCTTTTAAATTTTATTCATTTATTTGTTTGTTTGTTTTGACAGTGCAAGAGGGAAGTTGTTTCTAGTTACCCCATTTACCTGTGTCCCATCAGAAGGGTAAGATGTTCTGGATCCTGCTCCAAATTCTTCATGATCAGGAGAAAAAGGAAAACAAACAAAAAAACCCCAGATCTATTTTTAGCCTTTTGAACCTCTTCTTCGTCATTATCCTGAAAAGAGTTTTGTCCAATGGGTGTTGACATAAGCTCTCCTGAGCTGTGTCTTGATGCTTTGTGTCTCAAGTAAGATTGTCTTTATCCAGCTATTTCAATACCTGTGTTGTTCGGTTGTAAATAGCAATTAGAAGGCATTTGGTCTGTTGTTTGTCCCTCATGCACTACATAGGTGGTGTCTTCAGCCAAGAGATTCTTGGTGAGCTCAAATCTTTTAGCTGACAACTCACAATACTTTTTGCATTTCTCTAGTTTCTAGAGTAACTAGAAAGTCTCATCCCATATCAAGAGGTTGGTGAGAACACTTGGGCCTTTATAGTGTTTCTCACAGAGAAATGTGAAAAGAAATGCTTGTCTCCTGTGAGGAATTGTATCAATTTGCTGCTCCTGTCAGCTCAGGAATACCTTTAATGTTTTACAACTTTCATGGAAGGTTTCTAGGGCAATACACCAGACTTTAATTTGTATTATGTCCTAGTACTGTTCCAGCCTTTGGGAGAGGAAATTCCATGAGATAATACATAAGGGATATCACGGTATTTCTGTCTGGTTTCTCAAAGGCAAATGTTAGGTACCCTCCAGACAATAAGAGGATAGAGGGCCCAAGGAGGACAGCACAATATAGTCAACACCTCGCCAGCTGCATTTATATGTGGATTTTCATATATTTATTTGTGTAGTTCACAATGACAGAGGTTATCTATAATAATGATCGCAGATTTCAAATAAGGTGATTTGGGGCAGGATACTTGACATTTCTCATCATCTCAGTTCTGCTCTGAATGCTGCATATGGTAACTCTCTAGGCCAGCTCTCCATCCTTCCTTGTGTATTTGTGTGCATTTCTGATGTGGTTAGCAGTGAAGTTAGCAGTAAAGGTTGTTATAGAGGCACCGGAAGAAGTCGGATACTAGGGTAATGTTAGGTGGGAAGGTGTAAAAGCTGCAAGTTTCTCCTACGTTCATGAAGTTAAATGACCTTGCAAGATAAGAAGATAGATCTGTGAAGGTAGAGCTGCTCACGCCACCAAATAGCAATGTGTGTATCCAGTTGATAAGAGGCAGAAGCTTTTTTCTATAGATTTTTTTTTGCAAAGCAAGTAGATGTCTGTCTAGTCACAAAAAGTCCAGCTTTGTGTGCGCTTCTGAAGTTTCTTGGGCAAGCCATCTCCTGCTGTTTTCCCAATCCTACTTCCCCATCTCAATTCAGTCCTTTTGCATCATTTGGTGGATTTTTTTTTTCTTCTGAACTACGTTTATGCTTTTCTTCTTTTTCTGTGAGACATATTTTAATGATTAACTTTCAGCAACCTCAGGCCCGACGAAGAAGCCCTGATACATTTTTTCCATGCCTACAGGGTTTTTTTTTTTGTGCCTGGAAACTTTTATGATGAATGTGCAGAGATAGTAAATCCCTCGCCTCCCTCCCCTTGCCCCTGGATTTCCAATTGGAAAGGGAGAAGATGGGAAATCTGCTCTTAGTTCAAATACTTGGCAGGGAGGGGAACAGTAAGAGGGAGAGAATACAGGAAGGAAGAAAATATTATGATTGATATCTCCAGCTCTAATCTATTTGTTCTGGATTATTTTCCATTTTTCATAGCATTTTTCTCACAACTAATTGAGCAACATCAATGCAATTCTGCAGGCCACACTATGGGAAGCAATGCTTAAGGGCTGGCGTTTATTGCCTGTCTTTGAGATATGTTATAAGGGGAAGCTGTTTGTTTTTACAAGATCAGGTCCTAATTTTCCACTCAGAGCTGTAGTTTCACTTCATACCTGATAAGAAAACCAAATTCTGGTTTTGAAAAGAGGACAGGGTGAGTCTGCCAAGGCTAAGTACTGCTCTCTGGGTTTTTTATTTGTCTGTTGGTTTTGTTTTTGTTTTGTTTTGCCTTTTTTTTTTTTATGCATAAAAACCCCCAAACCCCTGTGCAAAAACAGATTTTAAAGACCTGTTTAGTTTTACAAGTCCAGAAAATGTCTTATTTACATAAAGGATTATTGTGAGGCATTTTGAATAAGTATAGGTGTTAATAATATGCTGATTTTGAAATGTTTTATGCATTGCTTTTTCATGAATTCCATTCTCTTAAGTTCTTGGCTCCTGTCACTAGGATGTGGGAAGAGAATTCTTACAGGGAGTGAAAGAAAAACTGACTTCATATTACATTCTGTTTTCGTTGTAGGGATACATGTACTATTTCCAAATATATTCACTTTAATTGGTTAGATATCTTTAAGATGAACTTCCAACTCTTTTAGCGTCCCACATGCTTTTATTGTTTTCATTTTAAGACCTGGTGTACAGTAGGAATAACTTGGTTTTGAGCAAGACTTATT